AGGGGTCGGGTTTCATTAATTCGCACAGAACTGACGCCCATGGCACTAATCCGCAACCCATTATAAGCCAAGCTGGTAAACAATAAAGGAACAGGGCATGTTACGAAAAACTCATCGATTTCTATCACCACTTTCCAACAACGTTGGTGATTGGTTATTACATACGTACTGCGCATCGGTAGACCAATAATACGTGACGATATCGTCGTTATTAATATTTTAAAAAGTCATCGATTTTTATATATATATTTTTTATTTTTAAACGAATGACGTTAATTAATATATTAAAAAATGTACTAGTTATTAAATAATTCGTTGCGATTATTATTACGGTTAATTCGGTTTAATATTAAACGTAACCGATGACGTAAGTGGAACGTCGCCAAAAGTTTTAAATGATAAATGAATCACGTCACGTGATTTATTTATCATTTAATTAATATACTTTTTTTAAAAAAAGTTATTAGGATTAAATATTAAATTTTTTAACATTTAAAAATATCGATTCGTTATTAAAATTATCGTTATGAAAACTTTCAAATTAATTATCATCGTCCCACGAGAGGGCGAGTTTCCTGGATCGTGTTTTAGTGTTGCCAAGAATAAGTCAGATTGGAGCAAAAACGCCATTTATCGAAATTAATTAATTACGTCTTAATTTTTTAGTATAATTTTTTGCAACCAGTAAATGTATTAGTTCGTTATTAAAATTATCGTTATGAAAACTTTCAAATTAATTATCATCGTCCCACGAGAGGGCGAGTTTCCTGGATCGTGTTTTAGAGTTGCCAAGAATAAGTCAGATTGGAGCAAAAGCGCCATTTCTCGAAATTAATTAATTACGTCTTAATTTTTTTGTATAATTTTTTTGCAACCAGTAAATGTATTAGTTTAATAAAAATAATTCAAACATTTTTATTATTTTTTTCATTTCTTANTACAAATGAATTTATAATTTAAACATTTTTATTATTTTTTTCATTTCTTAATGTTTCAAAATTCCGATTCCTTGGGAGGTCATTTTTTGACCGATTGCCATACTTTCCTTCTGTTATGTATAACAGCTGGGAAAGTAAAAAAAATGCTATGGACATAGCATTTTCGTCAGATAAAAGTGGCAGGAGCTCTTAATAAAGTGAGGAAAATCAGCCATTTAATAATTGATTCAGCGCATCAAGGTGACAGAATTATTAATTAAAATACGTTTCTGAATTAACGTCACGCAATTATTAAGCACGTTAAAACGTAACAATTGTTTTAACGTAATTGTTTCCAATAATAAAAATTTCGTTAAAAATTAAGTCAGATAAGAAAGATGTGGCGACAATATACAGAAACAATGAATTCGGAACTCGCTCCTGTGTGCCAGTAAGGATGGCACCGACATTGCAGATAGAAAGAGGAGGAAGGAGCCATCCCAAGAGACCGATGTCCTCCAAGGAAAGAAAGATCGAAAAAGAGGAAGAGGAAGGAAAATTCATTGAAAGACAAGAATCGTCAACAACGATCCTTTCCACCTGTTGTCAACTTTATCAACATTTATAGCAAAACTTTTCCGCTTTTAAATCAAAACGAAACAGAAAGAATTTAGACACAGTTTAGGCATACAAAATGAAAAATTTATTCAGAAGCAAAATTGAACTGTTACATCAAAATAATTGGATATTTTGGATAGTCATTATTTCAAAGAATAAATATACTAAATTGCCAAACGATCGCCTAAATATCGGGCTATAATAGCCCGATATACTGTTTGGGCTTTGTATGTTGTTATTTATATATCAAAGAATAAAATTTATTTTTTTTTAAATTTAAAATACTAGTTTGTTGTGACTATAGTCTTTTAATAGAACTTATTATACTGATGAAATTAGAGAATTTTCTGTCTAGAATCACTTTTGCTCAGTAGGAGAGCTGCGGGTAGATTACAGGCCGAGTATACATTCTACACAACTATAATTATTTTCAAATCGTTCGAGACTGCATACTATAATATCAAAAAACTTACTAATACACCTTATCTTGCAGCCGAAGTTTATTACTTCTAACGCTTTCGGTCTTGTTAAAAGACCTTTCTCAAGAAAAATAAAGCAAATAAAATAACAAAATGTAAATCGAACAAGTTTTTCGAATATTTTTCAACTAGCCTATTCCGTTGCAATTTATGACGTCATTGTGAACTTAGCAACGGAAGTATAAAAATCCTAAAGATATTTGCAACCTAAACTGGCCATGTCAATATGAAGAACTCATAAAATACAAAGATATTTTCTCTGCTTTCCTGCAATTAACTAATAAACACCAGAAAATAGCGAATCTCGCTACTAGGGATTAACAATCCTTTTACTTTTAACATTCTATTGTATAAGACTGGTTATATATTTTGACACTGGTATTTCTGGTTGGTAGTAAAGCATGAGTTTTGAAGCTAGGTATGTTCTGTCCGTGTAATATTAGGATAGTTCTTGTTGTAACTCTTAAGTAAAAACTTAAACCGTAGAATTCAAAATAAGAAAATCCCTAAATGAATTCCTTTTTTAAAACACTTCCTCAGTATGAATACCATAACATAGGTTGTTGAATAATTCGGTTCATAATTTGGACTTTCTGTTCTATTTGCTTATTTCTAAATCAATAAAGCATAAATATATATCTCTGAACGGAACAACACAAATTTGTGTTATTATCTTTATAATGATTTTGGTTAGATAAATAGTTTGGTTTTCTGCATTTGTCTGTTTCCTGTATGGTTTTAGATGTCTAATAGGATCTATGATAGTGGTTGATAGTTGGTTACAATGACATCACACATATTAAAATAAAACAAAGACACCTATGAGATAAAGTTATTAACACAAAGTTATAAAGAACTTTAACTTTATAACAAAGCTAATAATACGAACGGTGACAAATG